CCTTGTTGGTACAGTTAAGCTTCCTGTTGCCAAGGGATTTCCTTCAAAAAAGTAAAACAACAACATACAACATTATGTGTTTCTTTTATGTGATAGCTTTCCTCTCTCCTCAGTGAAAAATCTCTGGCTTTATTTATTTATTTATATATTTTTTTACATTTGTGAGAGAACAGTATTTCTTAGTTTTAAATTTATTTTTAAATTTTATTTAAATTTTATTGGTTATGCTATTACAGGTGTCCCCTTTTTCCCGTTCCCTTTATTCTCCTCTGCCCTGCACCTGCCCCCCACCAGCATGCCCTCCCCCCGCGTCCCCTGTCCCCTTTAGTTCATGTCTGTGGGCCGTCCATATAAGTTCTTTGGCTTTGGCATTTCTTATACTATTCTTAACCTCCCCCTGTCTATTTCGTACCTATTATTTATGATTCTTATTCCCTGTACCTTTCCCCCCATTCTTCCCCCTCCTCCTCCCCTCTGATCTCCATTTCTGTGATTCTGTTCCTGTCCTAGTTGTTAGCGTGGTTTTTCTTTTTTTCGATTCAGTTGTTGCTAGTTGTGAGTTTGTTGTCATTTTACTGTTCATAGTTTTGATCTTCTTTTTCTTAGATAAGTCCCTTTAACATTTCACATAGTAAGGGCTTGGTGATGATGAACTCCTTTAACTTTATCTGGGAAGCACTTTATCTGCCCTTCCATTCTAAATGATAGCTTTGCTGGATAGAGGAATCTTAGATGTAGGTCCTTGCCTTTCATAACTTTGAATACTTCTTTCCAGCCTCTTCTTACCTGTGAGGTTTCTTTTGAGAAATCAGCTGACAGTCTCATGGGAATTCCTTTGTAGGGAACTTTCTCATTTTCTCTTGCTACTTTTAAGATTCTCTCCTTATCTTTAATCTTGGGTAATCTCATTATGATGTGCCTTGGTGTGTGCTTCCTTGGGTCCAACTTCTTTGAGACTCTGAGCTTCCAGGATCTCCTAAAAGTCTATTTCCTTGGCCAGATTGGGGAAGTTCTCCATTATTTTTTTCAAATAAATTTTCAATTTCTTGCTCTTCCTCTTCTTCAGGCACCCCTATGATTCAGATGTTGGAACGTTTAAAGTTGTCCCAGAGGTTCCTAAGCCTCTCCTCGTTTTTTTGAATTCTCATTTCTTCATTCTGTTCCGGTGGAATGTTTATCTCTTCCTTCTGCTCCAAATTGTTGATTTGAGTACCAGCTTCTTCCCCTTCACTGTTGGTTCCCTGTATCTTTTTCTTTATTTCACTTTGCACAGCCTTCACTTTTTCCTCCATTTGTCATCATACTCAACCAATTCAGGGAGCATCCTGATTACCAGTGTTTTGAACTGTGCATCTGACAGGTAGGCTATCTGTTCATCGCTTAGTTCTATCTTTGGAGCTTTTACCTGTTCTTTCATTTGTGTCATGTTTCTTTGTCTCAGCCCACCTGGTACACTGAAAGGGGCAGAGCCTTAGGTATTGGCCAGGGCAGAGTAACCCAAGTTGCTGATATGTTGGTGCTGCATGTCAGGGGTGGGGTCTGAGAGGGAACAATGCCACTTCCTGTGCTCTCAACTGGCTTTCGGTCATTTTTTTGGCTACCCACAAGCAAATTGGGCTCTTCGAGTGCTGATTCCCGGGTGGGTGGGTTTGTGTATGTTCTATGACCCTGTGGGTCTCTCCAACGGGCTCTCCTTGAGGCTGGAGTTTTTCCCACCACCGCATCCCCCATAGATTTTTACAGCCAGAGGTCTTGAGGCCTTCTTTTTCCGCACTGGGACCCTGTGTTGCATGGTCTACCTCGCTCCCTGGCTGCTCCTCCCGGTTTATCCACACGCGAATGTGGGACCATCCACTCCGCCAGCTACCGCCTCGCCGGCCTGGTTCTCCAGCCGCCGCCTTGCGGTGAGTCCTCTCTACCCTGACTGCCTGTCTCCGCCCCTCCTACCAACTCTGGATGAATGATTTTTCTCTAACTCCTTGGTTGTTGGACTTCTATACAGTTTGAATTTTGGGCAGTTCTGGTTATTTTTTGTACTTAAATTTGTTGTTGTCTTTCTTTTGGATGTACAAAGAGGCAAAGTATATCTACCTATGCCTTCATCTTGGCTGGAAGTGTGAAAATCTCTGGTTTTAAAGGATGTCAGTCCCTGAGGCCTGAGTGAGCTTCGAGGTTCCTATTTAACCCGTGGGCAGCTGAGCTGCTGGATCTCAGTGTGCCAGCCCAGAGCTGTCCAAGAGCAATAGAATGTGTCACATGTATAACTTAAACTTATCTAGTGGCAACATTTGAAAAAGTAAAAAAAAAATTGGTGAGATTACTTTTAACAAATTTTATTTAACCCAGTATATCAAAAATACCATTTCATCATGTGGCACTCTAAGTGCTCAATAACGACAAGTGGCAAGTGGCTACCATATTGTACTGAACAGTACAGCTGTTGAGTACAATGTCCGTAACCAGCTATCTTCTGGGCTTGTTCCATTTGGTACAGAATCTTAATTTTCTTTTTAACTTAAAAGAATCAGCTGCTGAGGTGTGGGGTGCATCTGCTGTAGCCTCATTGGCCAAGGCGCTTCTTTCCCCCACCGGCATGGGATTCCGGAGCCTCGCTCCTCAGGGTGGCGGCAGCACGAAGCAAGCTGACTGATGGGGGGCGGGAGCAGGGACTGCTGGCTTGCTGTCCACAGGCGGGAGCCCCTCCAGGACACAGAAGATGACCCCAGTGGGGCCTGGGGTGCTGGCCTCTTGGGGAGCCCAGGCTGGCAGGGCACAGTCCAGGCGGGCCCCCGATGCCCGTGTATCAGGGCCTTCTTCCAGGTGGACTCACCTGCTCTTGTGAGCAGACGGGCAGTGTCTCTCAGTGTGGGTGTCAAGAGGGACGCTGCAGTTTCTTCATCTGTAAAATGGGGATAGTAGCGGGGCTCTGGTGAAGACCAGAATGAGACGAGGATGCAGGAGCTTCAGGAATTGCACAGTGCGTCCCGCCTGAGGGTGGTCTCCAGAAGGCAACGTCCGTGTGTTCAGGAAGCTTCAGGGTCACTTGTGATGTGGGCAGCCGAGTAAAGCATCGGAGGCAAAATGCTGGAGGCAGGCATGGGACATCTTTATTGCCTTTTGGGGAAAGATGTTTACCGGCTGGACACATTGTTTTTAAGGATCTTTTGGTATTATCGCCTTAGGCGGAATGAATATCAGGCCATTTTTTTGGATGACTCATTTTGTGAAGTTCTCAAGGACACTGTTTTTGTCTTCAGTATTTTTTGGACCAGAGTCCAGACAGCAGGGTCGGGGCTCCCCTCTGCCTGACCTTGGGGCAGGCCCTTCTGCCCCTGCAGCCTCGGCCTCTTCTGCCCCTGCTGAGACAGTGGCATCTGGTCCTGTCCTCGTCGTCTGCGAGGAGGGTGAATGACACATGTCAGAGCAGCTCTGCATTCCTGGGATGACACCCGCTCGGCCCTGACACGGCTGCCTGGGGCTGTATTGCTGGATTGGATTTACTGTGACTGTATCGAGGGTTTTGGTGGCTGTGTTCATGGGGAATACACTTTATAGTTTCCTTGTCGTTCCTTTGTCTGGTTGTAGTATTGAGGTGAATACTGGCCTCTTGACCTAAGCTGGACAGGGGGCCTCCTCTTCTGTATCTGAGAGAGATTTTGTGGAATCGGTGGTGTTTCCTCCTTAAGTGTTCGGTAGACTTTGTGTGATGAAACCTTCAGGGCCTGGGAGTTCAATTCCTTTAGTAGAGAGAGCTCTTCTTGAATAAATTTTCGTAGCTCGTGCCTTTCTAGGGTCGGGCCGTTTCGTCTGAGTTGTGGAACTGTGGGCGTAAGCTGGTTCTTGGTCTTGCCTCCTGACCCCTTTCATGTCTGCGAGGTCTGGGGGGAGGTTCCACTTTTAACCCTGGTATTGGTAATTTGTGTCTTTTTTCTCCTCGGCCAGTATGGCTAAAGGTTTGTTTATTTTATTTTTCCCAAAGAACAAGTTTTGGGTTTGATTTTGTTTTCCCTCTAGTTTTCTGTTTTCAATTTGATTGGTTTTGGGTCTTTTGTTTTTTTTCCTTCTGCTTGCTTTGAGTTTAATTTACTCCTCTATTTCTAATTTATTAAAGACAAAGCTTATGTTACTGATGTGAGACTTTTCTTCTTCATTAATATAAGCTATACATTTCCCTCTTAACCTTGTGTCCCACCATTTCTGATATATTGTATTTTCATTTCATTCAGTTCAAAATATTTTAAAATTTCCCTTCAGACTTCCTCTTGACCCATGGATTATTGTGCTTTAACAAGTATCTTTCTGTTCCTGATTTCAAGTATAATTCTGTTATGGTTTAAAAACATACTTTTATGCTTTCTTATTTAATATTTAAATGTAATATTTGCTCTGGCCTAGCATGTGCCCTCTCCTGTGGGGGGCGTCCTGTCCGGGGTGGTTGGTCCATGGGCTTGGTGTCTGGGCCCACGCCAGTGATTTGCCTTTCACTCTGTCGGTCACTGAGAGAGGAGTGTTGAGGTCTCCGACTGTAACTGTGGGTTTGTCTGTTTCACTTGTAGTTCTGCTGGTTTTCGCTTCATGTGTGAGCCTCAGTTTTTTAACCTGAGAGGTGGGCATGCCTCCCAGGGTGGCTGCCTGGACTGAGCACGGTCGTTCCAGCAGCCAGCGCCTGCCACGCTCCTCTGGCGCCAGCCTCCGCTGAGCGCTTTCCTTGTGTCACCCATTGAATCCTGAGAGCCCCGCGAAGGAGGTGCCACTGCCGTTCAAAGCTTACGGAGGACACGTGACGTGTCTGGGCTTACCAAGGGTGCCAGGCTCGGCCAGTGCGGGCAAACCCTGTCCCAGGACCGTTCTCCGCCCTGCCTCGTTAGAGCCCTTGCAGGGCTTGGCACCTGGCGACGTCCCAGTGAAGGTCAGCTGGCTTATCGTTATCACTGCCTTTGACTCATAACGTGCATTTAAGTAAATATACTCAGTAGTGCTGACCTAGAGGGGTCCATCGGGGGCCCTCGAGGGTGACTGTAGGGAAGGGGGCCTGCCGTTCACCGTGGCGCGGCGGAGAGGGGAGCAGGAGCCCCTGGGGACAAGACAAGGACTTTGGGAAGCCCAGGACCAAGGCACACTCCCAGGAAAGCTCGGGCCCCGTGGGAGCCCTCTGAGCCTTCTGCCCATTGCCCCAGACGCTGCTGAATGAGGAAGAATGGATGAGCAACTCTCCCTGTCCTGAGGGGAGGTACGGGTTTAGGGGGCTGGGGCAGCAGTGGGCCATTTCTTTTTATTGTGGGATTTAGGGACACTCTGAAGCTCTGTTTTTGAGAAAGAGCCTGGAGCGGATCTCTGTGTGCTGGGCCGCTGTGCCGTCGCTGCCTGCCTCCTGCCGGGAGACGGCGCCTGGGCCTGCCTGGCCTTCACCTCCCGCACGCGGCCGCGCCGCCCGGGTCGGTGTCCTGTCTCTGGCTTTTCCTGCAGTCGCATGTGTTCCCAGGGGGCCCTTCCAGGAGCAGAGGTGAGATGTCTGTCTGATTAAGCAGAAGGGGGAGGGGACAGAACAGCCTGGGCCCTAGAAGCACCCTCTGAACCTTGTCCTTTCACACCTGTTTTCTCTGCTGTCCAGAATGTGACCTTGGGGGGACAGTCTCATCACCCCATTTCACCCAAGGGAAACCCCGGGCTGGGACTGGCCACGGGAGGCCGCTTGTGTCTTCCCTGGAGGGCAGAACACCCTGATGCAGCCCATATTGGGGGCTCACTGGAGACTTTTCGAGTCAGCGCTCCCCCATCCCAAAGCACAGTAGAACACATGAGGCCGGGGAGCTGCCTTAGAGTAAACCTTCTTCAAGGAGGACGACTTTGGCACAGCTACTCTTAGTCTGTTCCAGGCACAGAGCTCCTAATGAAAAGCCAGCCCATGCCTGTTGCCCAAATCCACTGAGAAGGCCAGGGGCGGTTGGGTTCCCCTCGGGGAGGCGGGGGGTGCTGTGGTTCCAAAGATATATTTCGCAGTGATAGAGGGTTCCGCGGGATGACCCCTGTCCCTTTATGTCCCTACCTCCACCTTTTCTTCTGCCCTTTGGCGCATCCGTACATGGATCTTACTTGTGATCGATGTGACTTTGACTCCCTGGGCCCCTGTTGTTTATTTGGATGTCACAATGTGACCCCGGGTACTGATGACCCACAGCAGGTCATTCCCCGAGGTGTCCTCAAATCCTTCCGTAACGCGAACTCACCCCAAACTGCTTCCTTGCCGATCCACGGGGCCACGGTAGCCGATCCTGTCAGCTGGGCCACGGGGAGCCTCCCTGGCCGCGGTAGGTCACGCCTCCCACTTAGGCACCGGGAACTCTGCAGTCTGTGGCCTTAGAGGGGCGCCCTCCCTAGAATTACCGCGCAGCAGAAAGCCAGGACCTCTGCCACTTTAATAAGGTTGGTGTGGAGGCAGGGTGGGTGGGGACACTTCCCTGGGTGACGGCGGCTCCCAGGCGAGCAGGGGCAGCCGAGGGGCCTCCTGCTCTGCTCCCATCGGCCCCTGTTGTGGGTCCTCTTCTGCCAGTCCAGTGAGAGGAGGGGGCTCTGCCCGTTCAGGTGGGTTTTGCCTGGAGCGAGAGGTCCGCAGGGGCTCCCCTCTGCTGTCTGGAATCTTCTGCGGACCATCGCTTGTTCTATGCTGCTGAGCAGGCCTCTCCGGGCAACACAGATCCCTGTCACTCTCAGGGTGCCTGATCCTTTCCTCCCACCAGGGCAGGTTGACCCCACGGCACTGGGCCCCCAGGGCGGGGGCGGGGCAAGGTTTCAGTTTTGACCAACTTGACCCTCAGTGCCTCAGTTTCCGCCTTCCACATCTGCTCCCACAAAGGACGAGAGGAGCACACGTTTTCTTTCTCATTTGCCTGGTCTCCTTGGGACGTTTCTCCTTGCCCCTTTGGCAGCTGCGGCTCCAAGTCCTGACCGAAAGCCTGGTCTCTATCAGGACCTGGGAGGGCTGGGCAGGCCAGGCGGGCTCTGCCCTCAGCCTGGATCTGGGGCTTCTCCCAGCCCCTGGCTTTCTTAGCTGCAAAGTAGGGGAACAACAGTGCTTTTCTCTCTGGGTGGTTGGGAAGACTGCCGGAGATGAGGCATGGGAACTTGGAACTTTAAATGAATGCTCTCTGGTCTTGTGATCTGGCAGGCTCAGCATCTGTGAGACACTGAAATGAATCCTTGAAACTATCTTAAGCACCTCAGAGGACAGTGGCGAAATAGGGGACAGCATTCCTAGCTCCTGGTGTCTCTTGTCCCGAGGTGTGAACCACACCTGGTGGAAACATAGCCCTCAGTGCCCCGCCGGGAGGCCTGACAGACAGCACTCCGGCCGCTCAGGCTCCGTTGCCCCAGAGAGCCCCCTGCGCCCACGCAGTTAGCACCCAGACCCGCCCCCAGGCAGCCGCTGCCTGGGGAGCTGCGCCTTCTTTGACCCGCCGAGCCATTTGCCCGGCTCTCCTGCCTGCTCCCGCCCAGGGGCTGGGCTCCCGCTGGCCACCGTCTGCACCCTCTGCCTGGTGGGATGGGGCTCTGTCTGCCCCTCACACTTGACCTTCCCTCCTCTTGCCTGGAGGCCCAGAGCTGAGGGCACACAGGGCTTCCCTGGGTCCTTGAGCACCCCCTGAGCCAGCCCCCAGCCCCCACTCGTACCCAGTGAGACATGATAAAGACCCGAGAACCCCGAAACAGAGCAGGCTGCGGGACCGCTCCCGGGGGCTGGGGATCAGGCCCGCAGGGCTCGCTCCTGGGCCTCGGCGGCTGGTTCAGAGTGGGAGGTGCTGAGACTTGAACTATAGCGGGCAGGGTTGGTGGGTGATGGCATGAGAGGGGCCTTTACTCCTCGCGTGGCGAGAATTGGACCGCAGTCAGTTGTACACGGGGGTGGTTGTATCATCTGAACTCGGCTGCCTGATCGCGTTAAGGGCAGGAGGATGGGGTAGAGGAGTCGGGCTTAGCAGAATGGCGCCCTGACAGTATTCCCCTTGGAGGGGCCGTCTGGCCAACAGTAGGGTCCTTGGCTGTGGAATTGCCATGTAAACCCCTTGGGACTTTCAGAGTGAGAGTTAGCAAGGGGCAGGAAGCATGTGTCATGCCCCCTTGGCGCTGGCCCTGAGACCCAGGGGACATGCCCAGGCCCTCAGGTCCTTTGTGGGGAGCCGCGGGCGGCCAGGCAGCCAGTCGGCGGGGACTCCTGGGTTACGCAGTTGAGGAATAGGGATAATGGTGCTGGAGCGGGCAGTAGAATACAGGGAGGGCTGGGGATCGTCCCTGAACACTGCGCACCCAGATGCACACCCCAGGGGCAGGGAGGTAGGTCTCAACGGGGGTGACCTGCCTTCAGTCGATTCCGAGGGCCTGCGGAAGCCCCACCCTCTCCTTGGTCTGGCCATCCCACCTGCTGCCAGTGCTTGTTAGCATTGCTGGACTTCTCAGCTTAAAAGATACCATAAAAAGAAACATTGGTGAAGCCCAGCTTCTGGGCAGCTGGTGACTCTCCTGAAGCCCAGCGTCTGTCTGGGCAGCTGGTGACTCTGACCGCACCTTGGGGAGCAGCAGGATCTGCTATCGGTCTCCACTGCTCACCCGCAGAATCCTCACTGCAGCCCCTGGACAGTTTCTTGCGGAGGGGACCGTAGTCCCAGGAGCACCGACCTGGAGGGCCCCTCAGAGATGTGCCTTCAGCTCCGCTGTTGACTAATGATTAAACGAGGGTCGCTGTTGGCTCAGCAGACACTTCCTCTTTGTGGCAGGCAGAACATGCACATGATGGGGGAAATGCCAGATAGGGACAGATAATCAAATATTTGTAATGGGGTGCACACTGAGGAGACAAAGGAGGGCGCCGCGGGTGAGGGTAGAGGGGCCGCTCCTGCTGAGTGGTGAGGGGTGGGCAGCAATTTGCTGGGGGCAGCTACAGAGGGAAGAAGTAGTTTCAGACTCAGGCGGCAGCCGCGCTTGGGAGGGGTGAAGGGCTGGGGCAGGAAGGCGGGCAGGCGAGGTGACCAGAGGTGAGTCGTGGCCGTCAGTGATGCTGGGTTGGTGAGGAGGCCAGGGGTGTGCGGGGCGAGGCAGAAGGTGCAGCCTGGGGCCACCATCCTGAGGGCCGCCGGATGTGCTAGAGTCTTGAACGGGAACTGTGGAGTCGCCAGACTGAGCCCGTAGGGGCGGGGGGGCCGCGGCAAGGCATGTTGGGCTGGGGGTTGAGATGGGCACCAGGCAGAAGAGGCAGGGATGAGGGAGACTCCCCGCTCACTCCCCCTGGAATGGCTGAGCGGGACATTCCACGTGGCTCCCCAGGCCCGCTCTCCCCCTCCTCCCTGTGGCCCTTGACCCGCCACTCAGTCGCTTCACAGCCTGTCTGTGGACAGGGCCCTACAGTCAGACATGCCTAATAAATGTCCCTTATCAGACAGAAGCAGGAACGTCCTGTGGTTCAGCCCCGGGTTCTCGAGGCTCTGGGGCTGGGGCACAGATGTCCCCCAGCTCGGTTCCAAGGCCCGCTCCATTGCCTGTCCATCACTAGCGGCTGCACATTGCCTGGCGTGTTCTCTAGGGGGGCCCGACGCTTCCGGCCGCAGTCCCAGGCTGTGCGAGGCCCTGCTCTGAGGGCCGCCAAGTCTCCGCAGCCCTGACTGAGCCGGGGCACAACTGGGACGAGACGGGGAAGCTGGATGGCCCGGTGTGCTTCGCGCACCTGCCCGCTGGGCGCCGGCAGTGGCCACGGGGGCCCGGAGGCCGCGCTCAGCCTGGCGCGAGGCTGTGGTCCAGCAGCCCTCCTCTCACCCTTGGCTGAGCGGTCCTTCTCTTGCCATTCGTTTATTAATGCACTTGGTGCTCAGGTGGTCACTTTCCCTCAGTCATTTCACACGCATGTTCGCATGATCGTGCGCCTTCCGTGCCTTTGCTGGCTCGTTCATTTTTCCCGCACTGGGAGGTTGCTCTGACCTGGAGTGCTTCTCTCCGCGCAGCTCCTCGCCTGGCCACAGGGAGGTGGAGGTTTGCTCTTGAGAAACACAGGCTGATGGGAGAGGAGGCCCACACAAGAGGAGGACATGCCAGGCCACATCCTCCACACTCTGTGGCTTTCCGGAATCTTCCCACTCAGCAGCGTTGTCTGGATGGCAGGTCAAGTTAGGCGAGCAGAAGGGCCTGGTGGGGCAAGTGGCAGGGAGGCCACTGCTTGCCCCGCGCCCTGCCCCCGTCCGCCTGGGGGCTGTGGGGCAGACCCAGGCAGGAGCTCTGCCTCCTCCCCTCCCCACTGAGTGGGAGACAAAGGCTTCAGGAAGGAAGGTACCATGCCCTGAAGCACCAGAACAGAAGCACCGTGGAGATAGACATTATAGGAAAGATCAGAACTCTGATGGACTTAAACTTATTTTTATTTGAGCTGCATATGGAGAGTCACCAGAGTATTTTCAGTGCTCTGGGCCTCTAACAGCCTTTCTAACGAGAAAAAGAAAAGTACAAAGGATAATGCAGGGACTCAGTAAATACTTACCACTCAAAATGTGGGAGGTGTCTTATCTTTTTTAAAGAAAGAAAGCAATGTTGAAGCAGTTCAGCTGCTCTCCCCTCTGAGCCCTAGAGGCAGGGGTTCTCACTGACCATGGGCTCTTCTGTCGCTGGGGGACATTGGGGCATGTCTGGAGACATTTTTAGTCGTCACCACTGGGGGAAGCGGCCTGCATGGAGTGGGTAGAGGTCGGGGTGCTGCTGTACCCCACGGTGCAGGGGTGGCCCCATGGCAGTGAGCCAGCTCCAGGGTCTGCAGAATGGTGCTGCTCCAGATACAAGAAGTACCGTGAATTCAGCGCATGGCCCGCCAGTCTATTTATTTAAACACACAGAGGAAGAATATTTAGCCATGTGGTTCGGTGGTATTTTCTAAAAATGGTATGTATGCTTTAGAAATTCTGCAGCTTGCCATGTTCAATTGATGTGTTTTTCAGAATATCACATGTTGATACATATATATAGTTTATTTTAAATTCCATAGTTTACCTACTTTAGGAATGGGCTGCATTGTATTTTTCTGTTCTTCCATAGTTGGACACATTTTCTCTCTCTTTCTTTTAAATTTAAGAGCAGACCCTTACTAGAAATTCACACCCCTGTTTCCTCCCTCTCCCACATCCCTGCCCCCCCACCCCCCCGGCCCTGCAACAGAGCCAGCTGTGTTCTTGACTTGTGCTTTGAAAACTTTAATCACTCTGATAGGCAAAAGCTACCTCCTGTCCCTGGCTACGAGGGGTGGTCTGCTATATCTCAGTGTGGCCTACTGTTACCGTGTAGTTCATTTGTCTTCTGAGACCTGACTTTTCCACTCCTTATGTCTCTGAGATTCATTCTTGTAACTGTAGCTCATTCATTTTCCCCTGCTATTTAATATTCACTACTATGAACATACTATCATCTAACAAATTCCATTCTCCTGTTGACAGATAAATGGGCTGTTGTCAGTTTAGGATCATTTCGAGCAAGGCTGCTATGAACTCTGTTGTGTACACGTGCAAGCATCTCTCCAGGGTCTGCGCTCAGGAGGGGAATGCACTTTTGTTTTCCAAAGGGACTATGGAGGTGCAGTTCTTTCACTTGCTTCCTTCACTTACACATCCTGTGAATGCCTGGCCCAGCTCCTCTGTCCGGACGGACGATCCACATCCACGTCGGTCGCTCCAGCGGACTGTGCCTTTGTTTATCTCGCCAGGCCCCTGTCGTGGCCACTGGTTGTTTTTCACCATCACATAAAATGATGTAATGGATACCCTGACAATTTTAAGAAGTCAGGAGCATTTTCAATTCCAGAGGCAGGCAGGGGAGGGCAGCCACGTGCCCAGGCCCCGCGGCCGGAGAGGACAGAGCTGCACTCACTCGGCGCAGCTGGCCGCTGGGTGTGGCGCTCCAGAGGCCCTGGGCGGGGGGCCTGGGGGAAACAACTGACCCGCGTGCGGTGTGCCCTGGGACTCAGTTTCCTGTTCCAGTCGTGGTGACAATAAAGCGAGATAGAAACAGGCATGGCTCACACTGACGAGCTCTGGAAGGCTGTTGTTCTTTTTGCCCCTACCTAGACAGACACGTTTGCGTTGCAAGTGGACAGGTAGGGAGATCTTTGCACGTGCACGTGGCACACTTGTGAGTTTCTCTGGGGCAGATCTGGGAGTGGCGCTGTGGCCACGTGGGAGCCTGCCTCTTCAGGTCACAGCCCGCCCGCACTCCGCGCCGTCCGCAGTTCAGCTAGTTGGGCAGAGGTACGTCGGTTTGCCTGGTTGCCGGTGAGGCTTTGCATTTCTGCACGCGATGCTGGTCCCTCGGGCTTGCGGTGCAGCCTCCGACCGCCTCGGCCAGGTCCCAGTCACAGCACTCCGGTGACGGCAGATGTCCAGCCCAGTAGGGTCACTTCCCATCACGGTGCCGGACACTCACCCTCTGAGCCGCGGATTCCCCTGTCTGGCATCCCTGCACCCTGTGCCGCGGCTTGCCAGGCTCCCGGCAGGGTACGACACAGCTGGTTGGGTTTTGGCTCTTTGTCTTCAGTTTTATGAGTTTACACTGTAGTAACCTTTGCTGGACTTGAATGTGCCCGAGCCTCCCGGTGTGTTCCCACAGGGTAACTTCTGAGTTCTGGGGACTCGTCGCTCCTTGGGCTGCCCTGCATGTGGGCTGGGTGGGGCCAGGGGGGTACTGGTGGGTCTCCTGCTTACACTGGCTCTGTCCCTGCAGGCAGACTTCTGCGTTATGACCCGGCTGCTGGGCTACGTGGACCCCTCAGACGCCTCCTTTGTGGCTGCCGTCCTCACCATCATTTTCAACCCGCTCTTCTGGAACGTGGTGAGTGCTGTTGGATGGCTGTGCAGACTGGGAGAGGGGCCCCTCTTCCTTCCCTCTGCCGGCCTGTGGCCCGCGTGGAGCCATCCTTTCTACTGGCACCCGCGTAGGGGATGCTGACCAGGGAGGCCCACGGCGTCCCGGCGTCGGCCGGTGGCCCCGGGCTGCTGCCGGGGTGGCTGGGGCGGCTGGGCTGACTGCATGAGCCTGCCCCCTGCGCCTGGCAGCCTCCCTCGGTCTTCTCTTTGGTGATGTAGGCTGTCTCGGGTTAGGGCCTCCTTTCCTCTCTGCCGTGCTGTTCAGTGAAGCCACACTGTCACGTGAGCTCCGTAAATATGGTTATTTTTCCTAAACGAGGCTCCCTGCAGAATGATTTGTGCACCACTGGCCTGAGGTGTGCTGGGTAGTAAGAACAAGCCTGTGAGAAGTGAACGTAGGGGACGGCGTGGCCCGCTCCTCCGTGGGGGCAGAGGGCACTGGCAGGACGCGAGCTGGGGAGGGCGGCAGGCTGAGCGGGACGTGGCCCCTGAGGGAGGCCTGGGAGGGAGGACAGACCCTCCTGCTGCAGCCTGTCCCTGAGATGCCCCCTCCCCACAAGCGCTTGGAGTTGCCAGTCAGCCTCCCTTCCCATGTTGCCACCTCTGGGGGGAGGGGTGTGGGGCGGGGCAGGGGGGCCCTGGGAGCTGCGTGGGTGGTCCCTGGGCCGCGGGTGTGGGCTTGCGGGTGCAGAGCCCCGGCCGTCCTGGGATCGCCTCTGCACATGGCTGGCAGAATGAGGCCCAGCTCAGTGCTAGCAACACCCTGTTCCAGGCTCTTTTCATTTCAGGTGACCTGCTGGTCCCTGGGGCAGAACAGGACGTGTTTCTCATCTCGTTTATGATTTAGTTCAATCTTCCATCTGTGGAGATCGGGAATGGGGGCCAGGTTGCTCCTCTCATAGAGGTGGCATTGTGGATGCGCTGTCCCTTCTGTCCTGAACACGCTGGACCTGCCCAGGGGTGGCCGGGCCAGCTTCTAGTAGGAGGGGACTTGAGGGGAGTGGGGAGCTCTGGGGGACAGAGGTCCAGAGCTTGCTTTCTCAGGCCCCGGGACCCCTGCCGCGCTCCCTGAAGGCCTTGACACCCCCCACCCCCGCCACCCTGGGCTTCCGCTGGCCCTGACCTGACAGAGGCCTCCCCGCAAGAGCTGGCGTAGGTGGGCAGTGCCTGCGCAGCCCTCCTTGCTCGCTTGGGTCTGCTCTCCCTGAGTCTGTGCACCCCGCCCCCTCTGCCTCAGCAACTGCGGCAGCAGACGGTGACGGGGCAGAGGCGGCGGCGGCGGCTGGAAGGCGGCCCTGGACGTCTCCACACCCCAGTCCTCGGGGCCTGGGGAGGCTGCCGTGTGTGGCGGGGGGGCGGGGCGGGGCGGCTGTGCAGGTGAGACTGAGGTCAGGATCTTGAGACGGGGAGATTCTCCTGGACCGTCGGGGTGGGTCCTCGCTGCAGTCAGGCGTCCCCTGTGAGGGCGGAGCAGGGGAGGTGTGGGGTGCTGGCCTTGAGGACTGTAGGGGTGCGGCCATGAGCCCAGGAAGGCCACAGCCCCAGGGGCTGGACGAGGTAAGGAGTGGGTCCTCCCCCAGAGCCTGTGGAAGGAGCGCGGCCCGGCCATGCCCGGACTGCGGCCCCACGGTCCTGACTCTGGGCTTCTGGCCTCCAGCACGTGAGAGAATGTATTCCTCTTGTTGTGAACTGCCCAGCCTGTGATAATTTGTTACAGCAGGCAGGAAACTCACACAGGGTATTAGAGGGCTGCGGGTCCCTGAGGGCAGACACCCGGGTCTGCTGGGAGTGTGCGCTGCTCCTTCTAGTGCATAGGCCTTTCCGTACAAACCTGGCCTTGGCCAGTGGTCATGCCGATTCTCCCAGGGCTGCGGGCATGGCTTGGCAAGTGCATGGTGGGTCCTGGGGACACTTCCTCCCACACAAGCCCCTTGGCTATTTCCTGCCGGCCCTTCCTACAACGTGTTTCTGTGAGTTCATTTTGAAGCCATGTGGTGGCCTATGGCAGTGCTCCTAATAGCTGGGTGGTTGAGGTGCATAAGATCTGGAAGTCAGGCAGCTCAGCTGTGTGAATTTCTCAACGGCTTTTTTTCTTTTGTAAAAAGGTTTTGATTTGCCTTACTTTTGGGAAAAAAAAAAAAAACTAATCACTGATCATTTGTGGGAGAGAGAGACGGAGCGCTCTTCAAAGTCATTTTAGAATGAGGAAAGTTCCAGAAACAGGTCACGGTTTTGGGAGCTCTGCTGCAGAGAGCAGCTCTGCGACGCAGTGAGAGGCTTCCTGGGAGACCACTCCGGGGGCCTCGCTCAGCCCTCCTCGCGGCTGCCGCGCACTTGGCGGGACTTGCTGTGTGTGCCGCGTGCATTTCCTGTAGCATTTCAGTAAATTGTCGCAGCAAAGGCTGTGATGCTCTGCTTTGGAAATCGGGGCTTGGAGAACTTCGCTCATGTCAGTCAGGCATTGCCCTGAACACAGGAGCCCTGGGCCTGGCCCTCTGGCTGCTGCACTGCTAGGAGGGGGCAGTACCTGCTGCGCACGGCAGGGGAGGGGCGGGCTGGGCAGAGGTGGCCTTCTGGCAGAAAGCCGCCCCGCTGAGGGGAGGGTATCAGGGGGCGGGGGCCAGCAGTGCGGAAGACCTGACGGTGTCAGGGAACAGCCGCTGGCTGGAGGCCACCGGGAGGTCATGGGGGGCCAGCCGCACTGGGGCTGGGGCAGCAGCGAGGCCTTCGGGCTCCGAACGGGCGGCTGTGGGATGAGTCTCCCGGCCTGACCGCGGCCTCCAAGGCTGATGTGGGCTTCGGTGAGAACACACCAGGGCAAAGGCAGAGCTGGGGGCTGTCACAGCAGTGGGGGCCCAAGACATGGACAGAGTGGCCGCCGTGAGGTGGGGGGAATCGTTAGATGCTGGGCCCGGCCTGAGGAAGGGCCACCCGCGTTCCCGTGGTTTGGTTGGTCAGTGCGTGAGCGGAGCCACGGCTGGCTCCCTGGCTGGGACACGAGCGACTCGTAGTGAGAAATGTGCAGATGGTTTCCTTAGTCTTGAGTGCAGTCAGAATCCAAAAGAGCTGGCTTCGGAGGGTGTCCAGGTTGGTGACCACGTGGAGGAGTGGAGACAGTGGCCCACTCAGGGCACCAAAGTCCTTTCCCTAGACCTTGCTCCATGCATCTCTTCCCTCTGGCTGTTTTGTTTTTTGGTTTTTTGTTGTTTGTTTTTTTTTTTTACAAATTTCTTTCTTTTTTTTCTTTTTAGATTTTATTTATTTATTTTGGACGGAGGGGAAGGGAAGGAGAAAGCGAGGGAGAGAGACCCCAATGCGTCATTGCCCCTCACACCCTCCCTGGGGACCTGGCCCCCAACCCAGGCCTGGGCTCTGACTGGGAATCAAACCAGCGACCCTTAGGTTTGCAGGCCGGCGCTCAATCTACTGAGCCACACCAGCCAAGTAAAAATTTGTAAAAATCCAGTGCATAATCTGGCTTCCTGAATTTTGTGAGCTGGGTAGACAGTGTCAGAACTGAGTTGAATTGTAGGACAGCCAGCTGGTGTCAGAGAATTGCTTGGGTGTGTGGGGAAAAAGCTGGGTGCAGAATGGTAGACGGCATGGCCACTGGCAGAGCTGGGACCGTGAGGGAGGCAGGGGTCGTGGAGGGCGAGGGCTCAGTTCCTGCCCTGTCAGGTTCTCAATGTCCCGGTGTCCTGTCCCTGAGACTCCAGGTGGAGACAAGCCCGTGTGAGCCTGGAAGCGAGGGGAGCTTTGGGGTCGGGAGCTGCGGACGCGCTGAGGCGAGGCTGCCCAGCCCTGAATCTGGCCTTGGACCCAGGCCTGCCTGCCGCGCAGGGCCCACGGTCCGCCTCCCCGGACGGGGCTCTCCGCGGGGGGCCCAGGGTGTCCGCTGGGGCGGTCCGCCCACGTGCCAGGTGCCTGCGCAGCCTGTCCCTCTCCCCGCCCTCCCCCGCCTCCGGCATCCAGGGTGTTCAAGTCTCTGCTGTCAGCGTCCTGCTCCCCAGGCCTCAAGCTCCGTGTTGCTCTTTTCAAAGGAGGCTTTCCGCCCTCCTCTTCTTGGTTCCCTGGGGAAACTAGCACTGCTGGCCCTCGCTCTTGGTGGACACCTTGCCCCGCCTCTTTTCCAGCTCACAGTCTGTGGGTCCTTATGAAACCCCTTGTCCTCTGCCTGTCAGTCACTCCCTCAGCCGATGTGCACGGAGAACCGCTGTGTGCCGTGTGCCCTGGCAGACGACGTGCACCCTCTCTGTTCTCAGGGACTACACATCGGTTTGTAACTAAAATCGTGAAAAGACAAGGTGCTGCAGGGGCACTAGTTGGGGCTTTTCCCTTCATCATCTGTGTCTCAGCCTCTGGCCAGAATCACCTCAGAGGGCCAGGAGCTTGGGGCCGGGTGTTGTGGCCCCCACTTGGGCGTGTCAGACCCAAAAAGGAGCTGGCTCTTGGGGTCCCCGCCAAGACTTCCTTGACGTGCTCTCCTCTGCCGTCCCTAAGAAGGAGGGCCCTGTCCCCGGGCCCAGGGCAGAGCTCCAGGGCTAACTTTCCCTCCTTTCTCTTGCCTGCCCCCGCAAGCTGGCCCTCAGAGGTTCCCCTGCTCAGCAACGTGGGGCCACCACCATCACAGGCAGCCGGTGCTGCCTGTCGCTCCCTGTCCTCCCCCGCCGTCCCCACATGCATGCTCGCCCATTCACACTTGACACATCATAAACAGAGGGCCAGGGGCTGGTCCCACCCGGAGCGTGAGGCACACAGCTGCTCAGAGGCGCTCTCTTTCTAGGAGGAGGTGCGGGCTCCTTCTCCGGGCCCGGGGGGCCCCTCTGGCAGCGCCTCTCCCCTCATTTCGGTCGCTGCGGGCGCCTGCCCTTCCCCGGTGACTGAGCCTCTCGCCCAGGTCCCCTGCACGCCCCCGCTGCTTCCTGCTGGCTGCCACCCCCGCTCCTCACAATCCCACCCCCAGCC